ATGGACGCGTGAATGACCTCTAACATGAGCAGCAGCGATTTCCGAAAAATGACCTTGAATAACCTTGTCCTTGAAATATAAAAAATGAATGTCCCCCAAACTCACTATATTCGATTCCCAGGTCAAAGGTATGTCTGGTTGCAAAGTTATTGGCGTTCAACATCTTACTAAGTAGCTGAATAGCCCTGTACAAAAATAAATGATGGATTTTACTGTAGTCCATTTCGATGACGTTACACTCGAATCCTGAGCAAACCCGTTTGGTAAAATATTAAATGCAATGCAAAACGACTCAAGTCGTTTCATATCTTTGATTACTACATCATCATCGACATTACTTGATCGAAATCCAAGTACGAGTTGAATCAATTTTGACATAATTTAAAGAGCAATATTAAATTCAAGATTCCCTGTAAATTAGTTCAATTCAGCAGATTTTAATTCCAAAGAAAAGTTGATTTGTGTCAACTGTCAACAATATAATATTGCCCAGTGAATCCACTGATGACTGAAGGCATAATGAATAGAATCCAATTCAAAATGAATGTCAAGATTGAAGGTTAAATAATTTATGGTTGAATCTAAAGTTCACCACTCATTGAAACTTTAAAAGTGAAAACCATTCAGAATAATATCAAAACTTATTATGCATGTGATTGATTCGAAAGTAGCGTCATTGAAGTGAGTGGTTTTGAAAATTACTTATAAAATGTTGAAACTATGAAGTTCAAAGTGTGATACAATTCATTATAATGCATTATTCAAATAATCTGAAAAAACACTTGAGCTAAAAATTTAAAATCAATAAGCTTTATTAATCTCCTTTTGGTTGTTTATTTGCAAATTTCAAGGCCAATCGATCGGTTCATAAATATTAAGTTCATTAACAGATAACAATTTACCCTATTTATTTACTTGATTCATTGCCCAAATAATGAAATGCTAAAACTGTGTAGTAACCATGAGAAAATGTCAACATTAACTATTGAAATTAAATCAATATTTTTACATTTTGATCTCATAAGTCGTTTTATTACATTGTATACTGTTATTTGAATTATCAAGTGACAATTAATAATTAGAAAATGATTTATCTTTTAATTACATTCACGGTGTTCTAATAATATTTAATAACAAGTGTGTTAACAATACATTTATGCATTAACTTGATCATGAAATGAGCTCTACATTGTTTTGTATGAAGTTGAAGTACGTAAATTGGTTCGTGTTTGGAATAAAAAAGTTTTGGAAAAAGTCGTCCATTAATCACTTCTCAGCATTCGCTTATTCTTTGAATTCACGATTTCACTTCATCAAAGGTCCAATGTTAACCGTGAATAGCATCAAGAGTGATATGTTTTCTACGATAAACTGAAACAGATAGACACTTATTAGTACAAAAAATTATTATAATTAACACATCTTACCAAAATGAAAAATCTTTTCTCAAGAGTTACAAAGTCTCCGATTTTCAAGCCATTATATGGTCCAGCAGCCCGATCCATCAACTCTGAAATCTGTGCAAAAGATCGAGTCATAAATTTATTGATAATCAGCCTCAATAAGTTAATTGTTTTAACCGTATTTTTCCTTACTTTACTTGCTGTTCCCAATGAAAACTTATTCTTGCAGGATAACTGGTGAAGTTTTATTGTTAATTTTTCAAGCTATCAATAAAAGAAAACAAACAAATGAATTTGAATACAAAAAAGTATCTGCATTGTATTATTAATCACCTTTGAGATGAAGTTTCCGAAAGCAATTGCAAATGCTCCAATAGTTGATAGCATAAACAAACCAAGGATTGTGAGTAAATTTGCTATAAAACCATTGTAAACTCTAGCAATGGCACCAAGGAAAATGTAAGCATCGGCTGAAAAAGCAAATACAAAAACGTAATACAAGGAAACGTAGCGTAGCTTGTTGACAGTGAATTCAAAACTGTTGAGACGACGGATGGATGCTAGACAAAGCGATTCCACTTCTCTTTCAACCAAAATAATTCCAGTTGATTTGTTCAGTAGATCGGCCATATTTAGTAAACCCATTAGTCGAAAAAGATGAAATGACAATGAACATATAAGATACCAACTGAATCCAATAATTCCGTTTAAAAGAAAAGAGACACTAAAGATGCTTGGAAATGACCAAATAAAACTAGAAATGAACAGTTTTGGTGTTTTGTAAACCCAAGGATTGGTCAGCAATGGAACGATGAACAACATTGATATAAATAGAGGACCTACTAGCATCGTGTAATAAGCAAAAATAGACACTATGATGATAGTTGTGCGAAGACTTTTACAGTTGATATTATCCATCTTCAAATGAACTGGAGTAAAGCCGTTGAGACAAACATTCCAGACGTGTAAAAGTTCGAGATTTCCTTTGGATTCAAGGCTCAGAATCCATCCACGAAAAATGGCTACGATAGGTAAAATGATGAAACACCATATTATTAAGGTTCGGCGATCTTTATTACGAACTAATGGATCACCAAGATAAATGGCAACCGATTCACTATCATTGCAAATGAGTATAAGCGCTCTAAACCAATTGATTAAACAAGTTATTCCGATGATCCAATCCAACCGATTAAGTGCACGATAACCAGAAGAAGGGACAGTACCAGGCTTACTTCGGCTCAGCCCATGACGGAAAACCTGATAGATTAATGTTAATCTTTCCGTACGTCGTATCGATTGAAAAACATAAGAATCAACATCATTTGAATGAGAACATATAAAAAACTGAAAATGTTTTCAAAATATTTGAAAACAATATTTTTCGGTTGCGATAAAAACTTGCAACTGTATTTGCCATTTTCAAACGAGCCATGTTCAACTTGGAGTTTGTTGGATTTACTTTATGTGAAAAAATTATAAAAAAGCTGAAAATTTTCATCAAAGATATCAAAAGACAGTCTTTTCGGTTACGATAAAAACTTGAAATTGTATTAGCCATTATCAACGAGAGATGTTCAACTTGAAGTTGTTTATTAGATTTAGACTGATGTTTATTATGTATATTAATTGTTCCTATGCTTCTTCCAATTAAAATCATTGATTCGCTTTCGTAAGAATTGGTGAGGGTCTAGATCAATTTTTCCCTTTCATTTCGTGATCTTTCCATCATTCACGATTAGAATGCTTAATATATGTAGTTAATTTTTAATGAAAATTGATTTAGATATTGTTTACAATCAAAGTGTTAGTTTTTTTAGCATGAGGATGGCAGACTGATTTTATTACACCAATTATTGGTTCCGTATTTGGCAATCAATTTTCAAATATCATTCTTCAACAAACCCTCGAAAGAGTACCGAAGCCCCCTTTAAAGAATACTTAAAAATGAAGTTCAGAGTTTACCGAGTGTTTTGTTTCATTTTACGCTGGTTTGTGGCAAAAACTCACGAACCAAAGGTTATAAAGACTGGCAATGTTGTAGCAGTGCTAGAAATTTGACTAACGATAATCAACGATCAGAAATTGGCCTAGAAATGGTTGAAGGTTTTTATTCATATTTATATTTGATTTTGCACAATTTCTTTGCTTTCTATTGAAATGTTTATTGTCCAATATTCAGACAAGTTTATGATAAAAAAGCTGCTCGAAATTCATGCATAGCGTGATACGTGATAGTATATTGCAGATCATTTTTATTCCATTCATATTTTAGAGCTTCAGCATTACATAACGATGAAAAACTTGAGTCATTATCAGAATGAGTGATTGTTCCGCCTTTTGTACGCGTAAGAATGGTTAATTTTGATTAGACAGATTCGCAGCATATATCAAAGGTCCAATGTTGCAAATAAATAGCATTAAAGTTGATATGTTTTCTAAGATAAACTAATAGAAGAAACAGAATTTAGAGTTTTGCGAAATTTTATTTTTACTCATCTTACCGTTATGCCAAAACTTTTCTCAAGAGTCACAAAGTCCCCAATTTTCAATCCATTGTATGGTCCAGCAGCTCGATCCATTATTTCCAAAACCTGTACAAACAGATCAGATGCACACGTCGAGTAAGTCCGTATATTCTCAACTTAAGATTCAAGGAGTTTTCAATTTTTTCAATATAAATTTACAAATTGTATTTTCATAGGATTTGGTAAAATCAATGCTTTGGTATAAGGATTCTATGCTTTCCCATCACACCGTTCAAGCGTGAATTAATCAGTAACTGTAATTCCTATCAAGCTTTGACTTCGGTTATGTAGCTTAATAATAGCTTTCAGGCTACGTAAAAATTTTCAATACAACCTTTTCAGTTTAGCCACATTTTTATCACAAAATTTGATTAATTGACTTTATATTAGTGACTAATATTATTGCGAATTATGCCTTCTTGTGGGACATTTTTTGAGAAATCATTGCGAATCAATTGGTTGATTTTTGAGAATTCATTATTAGTCATGTTCGCTTGTGCTCTTGTTCATTTTAAAGATATATTATCCATATTTACCTTGTTTGCTGTGCGCATCGTAAGTCTATTCTTGGTGAAAAGTTTGTGCAGTTTCATTGTTAACTTATTGAGCTAATTAAAAGAATATAAAAATCAATTAAATACCAACCGAAATCGATTCTGTCAATTACCTTTGAGATGAAATTTCCAAAAATTAAACCAAACGTTCCAAGAGCTAGCAGAATTAAGAAACCGAGAATTGCGAACAAATTTGCAACTGATTCATTGTAAACTTTAACAATGGCTCCAAGAAAAATGTCAAAATCACCTGCGGCAGCAAATATTGAAAGATAATATAACAGCAGATAGCGAAATTTGTAAGAAGCCACTTCAAATGCGTTTAGGCGACTAATGATTGACACACAAAATGATCGAGGTTGTTTCCCATCATCCAATCGGTGATTCAAGTCATCTGCAGAGTGCAGTAGATCATACAGTCGAAAGAGATGAAAGCAAATGGAGCAAACTAAGTACCAGAAGAATCCAAATGCAGTATTGAAAAGCAGCGAAAAAACAAAGGTAATTGGAAAGAACCAAACAGAACAGAAAAAAGCCAATTTAGGAACTTTGTATGTCCAAGGATTGGATAAGCATGGTATAAAAACAATAATGATGAATAGAAAGGCATTGAAAGCAACACATTTTGTGTAAAAATAGATAATAAAAAGATGGTGAAACGAAATTTTTTGCCATCAACATCATTCATTTGCAAGTTGACCGAGTTAATACCATTGAAACAAACTTTCCATGTAGACAATATTTCGAAACTTCCTTTTGCATTGAGATTCAAAATCCATTCTCGAAAAATGAGCAACATTGAAATCATTATTGTACAATATATACATACAGCTTGACGATCTTTAGCTCGAAATAATATATCTCCAAGG